ATCCCGTGACTCGGTCTTGTCTCTCAAGCCAGCAAACGCCACAATAATAGCAACAGCAGCAGCAGAAAAAACCTTCTCCTACCCCGCCTGGTTATGGATTCCTTTATCTCACGACCGTACCAAGGCTGGGATCTCTTTATCGTGAAGCTGTAACAAAGGGCACGACCTCTTTGTCTCGGAGCCGTACTGTTCCTGCATTCGACATCCAATCGTTTTGATTGCTTGTATCTCTCAAGTTCTCCCTAACCACAGAATCCATGGAAGGCTCCAGATTGATTATTAGTGTCGAGTTTGGGGCGAGTAAAACAGGTAACCATGCCACTAGATGCTTCCTTCACCCGCATGTGTCCATGACTCACGCCCTATTTTGAATAGTTGTCGGCTATCATGTCACCAGAGATAAGTGGAATGGGATTCCTGAGTTCCTAGCACTAGGTAATACCCATATCATTCCAACGGCGATCGCGTACCCCCAGGACGGCTCCTCATGCTGTATTGGTGTGGAGGCGCAACGCCAAAAGAACTGCGTTTATTGGATAAAACATATATTCGACGATGCTCGCATATTGCGAGACTCTGATGACGGGCTTATCGAGGAGCTCGTCGAGTCGACATGGTTGCACCTGCCTCTCAGGCAACGCGAGGATCCATCCCTCGTCGTGTCCGACTTCCTGGGAAAGATATTAGGGCATCTCCAGAGTTTCTTGAAATATGACGATGCAATGGACAGAATGCCAAAGAACTTCATATTTACCACGCCATCTACTTGGTCGGAATCTGCTCATATGAAGATGGAACAGGCTGTTTATTCGGCAGGGTTTACAAATCCTCGCGGCGCAAGCGTCTCCTTCACTTCCGAGGCCGAGGCGGTCGCCGTATACGCCGCCAGTGAAGGGGGATTCAACATGGGGCAGCTTTGTGAAGTGAGTATCTAATTGCAGGCAAATCCATTTACGATCGTCGAAATTTATCTGATGATCGGAATTATTTGAACAGACAGGCGATGGGGTCATGGTGGTTGATTGTGGAGCCAGTACTGTCGTACGATTTCTTCTTGGTAACAACGATTTCTTTTCCTTTTCTATACTAATGGCACGACTAGGACATAACTACTTTTCTCGTCGACCAGAAAATTCCTTCTGCATATCAAAGACTTACAGCGTTTACAAGTAGGTAAGACCTAGTGAGGTTCAAGTTTTCAGCTAATCCTTAGTAAGGTAACGCCTGTGGGGCGGTTCAGCTCCAATCTCTGATATATAAGAAGTTGCAACACAACGAAGGGCGTGGTCCGGTGACGAGAAGCAAGGTCAATCGTCCGTTTGCCCAATGGGCCCGGCAAATTTTTCCGCGTGGTCCTATATCAATGCCCACTAACACCGGGCTCCCGCATGCTGACCTGCAGCTGATCTACAAGAGCGCTGCCATCAAGATCATTGGCCATATTCGGCGTGAAATTGCTTGCGCTAACATCTGCGCTGGACGCAGTGTTGTCAGGGTACTATAATATCTGGTAGCTTCCACGCAGCATCAAATGGCTAACATGTCTGCCAGAGACTACTTTTAGTGGGAGGTTTGAGTGGATCGGCCGAGATCTCAAACAGAATTCAGTACACATGTGAAAACGAGTTCAGGATCGAATTCCACCAGCCATATCACGTGTAAGGCTGCCAACAACCTCGTTACAGCACACTTCTGTTCTCTTATCATTCAAAGCTTACAAACATCTCATAGATATCGGAACCTAGCCGTTTGTATTGGTGGCACACTTCGCGGCCTCATGGGGCCACAACTGTCCTTTAAATTCTGGAGATTTTATTATCTGGTCTACGCGAACCAGCAGATCAACATGATCATCAGCAATGTAATGCGTGAGCCTGACCTCTCGTGGTGCTACTGATGGCTTAACCTTCTTCGCAGGGGAGTCCCTTTGACAACGAGTACGCCAATCAAATCAATATAACACTGCCCCGAAGCACAGACGGGGCCCATACCATTTTTGTTATGGAGAGTGCGCAGCAGGTAGACCCGCTCGAGCGGCTCGAAGAACAAACTACTGTTGTTGGCAGAATCAACTGCGACTTGTCACCAGTGCCGGGAAACTGGCAACTTCTGAACGTCTTGGTCAGTTACCGAGCCACAGTGAGATCTGAAGGACAACATCTTCCTCCCGAGCGCCTGCTCCATCTAGCTGTGTACGAGGCGGAAAGTAAAGAAAAGCAGCTAATAGGCCACACGCGAGTCCTCATGCAGAGTGGGTTGTGAAAGCACTGCGCTTGGCATTTTGTTTGTTCGGCTACTGTGGGCACAATAGGTAGGAAAGAAAAGAAGCTCTGGAACACATAGAATGTAGAATCTTTTGCACGATTAAATTGTCATGTTCGGTGGGTACCGGGTTGCAAGCTGTCTTTCCTCAACGCCTCTCTTAGATTATACTCCGTAGGATCTGTCACGTAGACTGCGCACGGAAAATATGGATGAGCGGAAGCTGCACAACTGTTACAACCCAACGCTACTGCCCCTTACCATGGTACGTAATAATTCAAAGAAGCATATTTACATGACAAACGTGACTAACCACTTTGGCTGTCCCCCACCCCCTAACTCAAAGGCCTCTCCGTGCATCTGAATTTGTGTCATTGCCATGAACCCACTGTCAGAGCCTACCCTATACCCCTCCAGCAGAAGGACATTTCCCGAATAGTTAATAAAGTATTTTTATCTCCAGTGGTAATAACGCTTAGATTGCCAGACTTGCTAGGATTTGTTTGAATTAACAGAACATCCCTGCACCAGGATCTCACCACCCTGACCGGACAGGAGGTGCGCCTCAATCCTAACGCGCGCTTGCTCTGTTGAGACAAGAAGCAAATAACGCCTGACCAAGTATCAACATATATGGTCTACCATGGCTTAGTAGGATTCTGCGAGCCCGTCCCAGAAGAAAGAACAGGGCATCGCACAACGCCAATGAATGAATCTTCCCTATCTTCGATAGTATACATCAATCTGTCTCTTTCACAATGCCTCCCAAAACTTATCAGTCGGATTGTAAATGTCCAAATCTCGGAACTTGACGCGGCTGCCTGCATCGATTCCCGGACTCCTATTCCCTTCCTCCTCCTCCCGTGCTCGTATACGTAGTTCGTTTGGCGATGGAGGCTTGGGGGGATAGTCGGTTTTTTCTTAGGCGGTCACTGGCGCAAACGAGAAAGTCGTAGGGCGTGAGGCCCTAGGTTCCGTCAAGGCAAGGCTCCGGATTCTCTTCGCTCGGTGCAGGTGATTCTGCTCGATGGTGTCCGTGCATTGGGTCTTGTAAGGGAAGGACGGAGAGAGGTGTGTAGAACTAAAGTATCCTGAGGGGTATTAAAAGTTTCATCGTACTTTATAGACGCATGTTTTCATTGCTGTGTGGAGGTGATGGGGCATGTGTGTGCAGTGAGGAAGTATGCTGGGTGAGACCTTGGGACGAAGAACCGAGTTATAGGGGGCGATCATGGCTATTGAGGGGGGGGGCCGGCGCAGCATTTCTTTTCAGCTCAGATTCTGGATGATGGTATGTATGTCCATGGTGGTTGTTTGTGGGAGTAATCTATTGATGGAGACGATACTCCTGCAGGGTATAAAGCAAGGGTTTGTGTGCTAGATCCATCCAACCTCTTTGCAATCAACGAAGTCGTGATGTCCCGTCTGCGGGGAGTTGTTCGTGTTTCAGATGGTAATAGGGACGGTACAAGCTTTTCTGGATCAGTCAAGGCACCTGCAACACACAGTGTGCCTCAGGCGATATACGTGGGTAATGTTGTACGCATTTAGCAACAAGATGGCCATCTTGAGCAACTCCGATATGAGGAAGAACTGGTCTTGAGTGGGCGTAAGTCAGCCATTTCAATGTTGATCTCAGAGGGTAGACGCCGACACCAATGGGGGATCTCAAACATTGACAGTCGGGGAATAGCTGTATGCAAATAGAGGCTGTGGATAATATACAAGTGCATGGGGTCAGCATCTTCTCTCTCCTGGACCAAAGTAAACTTCATAGTGACATCCATCCATCTAATTATGGTCTAAATATCATTATGTTAGTAGATTTGGCTCAGCCCTGTCGCTGTCACGCTCACACGTTTCGACATCATGTATTGCTACGCGCACCAAATCACTATAAGTAAGAGTAGTCAAAGAAGCTTTTATTCGTAAACCTACTCTGCTTAGTGCTATTACTGGGCTTAGATGATCCTGACTGGGACAGAATCTACTACGGTTATGTGTGAGAAGTCAAGTACAGGTTTTCAAACCAGTCATGTATAGCATACTCACTCACACCTTGACATTATTTGCGAATGCTTACTCTTACATCCTTTCCCAACTTGATGGGCCAGAGGTATTTCTATCTTGATACAGACGCGTGCAGGCATGTCTTTCGAGCGCGGGTTGGATGGATAATAGTTGGTGGGCTTAATCCCAGCAACCTCGACCTCTCCCTGTCAGTCTTTATCAAAAAGGGTTGGTGAAAGTAGGCGCTTCTTGACACAGATTAATCATATCTGAGTAGATCGGGCTGGAACGCAAAGATGATTAGAAACGTGCATCCCCTTTGGGAACCGGAGTGTCAATGGGTCAAGGCGGCCAAATTGAACTATTCAAGGGCTGAATAAATAAAGACAAGGATGGAGATAGAGAGAGGGAGATGACAAAGAGAGGGTGGAAAGAAAATCAAAAGAGTACTCTAGTATAACGAATACGATGGAAGAAGAGAGGGGGGAATAATAAAAACAAAAAAAGAAGATGGGCCCGAACCGCGATTCGAACGCGGGGCCTCTCGCACCCAAAGCGAGAATCATACCTGTTATTTAGTTAGACACTGATAGCCGAGATAGGTTATATTTGAGGGCTGCTTACCACTAGACCATCCGGGCTCGTATACGTAATCAGGTGGCAAATAGAAAACAAAGGGTAAGAGAGGAAAGATTAAGAAAGGTTAAAACCAAAAAAGAAGGAAGATAGGCCCGAACCGCGATTCGAACGCGGGACCTCTCGCACCCAAAGCGAGAATCATACCTATGAATTTGTTAGACGACGAAGGTGGTGGAATGTTTGATTGGATAAAGCTTACCACTAGACCATCCGGGCTCGTATGTGGGGTTCTTTGGCCTTTTGCTTTACATATATGAGGAAAGCTCGGTCCATACTAGGTTTTTGTTGCCCTTGATGTGCCGTTGGCAGTGTTCAAATATATATGTTCAAGACTGCTGGAACGTTGGAAAAATTCTGCGTCCGCTTTTCACTGGTTCCAACTCCATGATGCTTATTCATCGCCGTCGGCGACCAGTTATTTTCCACGGCTACTGTGTGCCTATCGGCATTTATGTCCCTCAAGTTTCTTTCACTACTAGTGTAGTTTCAAGCTTTTCGACTCACCCAGAAAGTCAGTTGGATACCACTTTTGGGATTGATGTTGTTTACGGCTCAGACTGGTCCTAAGTAGAAAATACCTTCTTTTATTACCTGTTACATGTCCAGCATCAGACTAGACTTCGATATGCAAATATACCTATACAACTTGTGATTTGTCCTATATGTAGTAACTTGATGGGCCGCTAGCTTCGCGCAAGAACATGGAACAGTACAGAACTGATTGACTATATTTACCTACTAGCCCCTGTGGAATTGGTGATATGCCACTTATTCATACTATAAGGATGTACTTTACGATCCTTCGTCGTGGTTAACACTTACTAGTCCTGAAATCGTATCTAATATGCTGGATATATATCGGTAGGTTTTTTAGTCTGCAATACATCAGTACTTAGTTGTATGTGCACCTGTATTCATGCGTTCAATCAGAATTGATGATGTAGATTCGTAAGAACCATTAATTGTGACAATGTTTACTTGAGCTTGCCCTTGATGGACCAGTAAATTAGTAAAATCGTACATAACAATGAGAAGCTCTGGTGTCTGAGGAATCTGCGTGGTTTTCATATATAGACATCGGGGACGATCATCAATCGTCGCAGCTCAAGGCGACACTAAAACCAGCCCCGAAATCATTCATAAAGAGAAGAAAAGTTCGAGGCTTACATTCATAGCCCGTAGTATCTAGGGCATCGATGGTGCGACATCACACCGTTGATACCGAGCTTTCGGAAGCGGCCCCTGAAGAGCATCGAGGGTACTCTAGGCCAAAATAACTCCTGTGTTCAGCCTCAAAATAACGGCTAGAGCGTTAAAGAGGGCCTGTGCTTAATCTCACGTAGCAGACCATCTAATCCCTCCAATAGTTTTCGCCTCAGGCGAATTGGTACCTCCATATTTCCAGAAACAAAATCCGGTTCATTGATGTACTTCCGGTGAATGTAGTCACGTCCCACCAACGACGATAAATTCGATAGTCCGCACATCTGCCGCAATATCTCTCTTGCCCTAAATCGATCAAAGAGTAGTGGGACTGCCTTGACGCCAATATCCGCCGTGGAATACAAGAGCGCCACGCTGTACAAGGCCATCCGTGTCTTTGGATGCCAAGATCCGAGTCGCTCTGTAAATAACCGAAAGATGTCCTCGGTACCAAACATGGCTGGCCAGTACATTCTTTCTCTGTTGTATGCTGTCTCGTGCATTGCAACATTGGTGTCCCATAGAACCTTCTCAATTGCCGACTCCGTTCCAACAGCCTCTGCTGCCAAGTCGAGCACACCAAAGGAAGGTGACAATTGCTCTTTCCAGCTCCAAACAAGGTGCAAGTTCAGAGCCGGACGATTGTTCTCGGACAGTACTTGTTGGAATTCAGCACTGTCACCCCTGTTTTGGAGAACGGCCCTTAGCACGATCACTCTAAAACAGCCATCAACGTATCTGATGATGGATGGATATGAAACTCCCTCCAGGAGGCATATGATATCACCCAACTTGAACAACTCCACTGGTTTCCTGATGGCCCATTTTACTCTCCGCACTTTCTTGTAGTCCTCCTTACCCGTCCCTTGACCAGTCAAGAGCACTTGCAACATGGTCTTCGTGTCCTGGTCTTCCCTGGTGACAACGAAACCCAAGATCCTTCCACTGCTCTGTATGCTCGCAAATTCCCTACCAGGCCAGGTCTTCACTGATATCTGTTCATTCAAAAGGAACCGGATTAATCGTTGAAAGAGTTGCTCCCAGGACAGCTGGTAGTTGGGTAACAGGCCAGGTGCTTCATGAGAATCAGAGCTCAGCCCCAGTAAAGCATAGATTTTGTCATGCAAGATAGAGGCTTCGTTTGTATGATGCATATCAATCAACTCGGATAGGAAGAGCTTCTTTATCGGATACGTTCCATATTGAGGACGAAAGATTGCTCCACGAATCAGATGTGTTGTACTCATCACACTAGGTCCAGCATACCGACTATATGCTTCGATGCCCGTGGCAAATGTGTAACCGCTCATTCTGACAGGACCACACAGAATCTGAATATTCCGAGCGAGGCCCACCTCTTGGAGGATCTGTTACCTCTCCTTAGACATCAGATATCGCTTCGTAAAGAGCAAGAGGGAGAAGACGGTGGGCATAGCGTAAAATTACTTACCCACATGCGATAAAACCACCCTCGAAGGAACAGATTTTTGATACCCTCAATGGGGACGCTTCCTGATGGCAGATTGGAATCCTCTCCAGAATACCTTGACCCTGCCGCGACACGAATGGCTTCTAACGCCTGAGTACTATCATTTGCCTCCTCACCCAACCACACCATCACCTGGCTGGCCTGCTCATATATGCGCGCCATGTTCTGGATTTGCTTCTCCTTCTCTCTCATATTGTTCTGGTCGATGCAAATTGCGTCGACCCATAATCTCCGTTCAACTCTATGGCCTCGAAGCCTAAGGAGTGCGGAGTGTAGATTCTTTCCTACGGAGAAAGCCTGGTTGTTGATTGAGATGTTACACTGTCCGTCCGCCTCATCTCCCCACACGTATGAGAGGGCGTCGTACTCTTGGGCAATATCGTCCCGAAGAGAAAGGTTGGAAAGCTGGCATTCAATCGGAGCGGCTCTGTCTTTGCTTGGAAGCAGATGGAGTATGCGGGTGCTGAAAGGCCCTTGATCCAGAGGAGAATATTCAAAGACGGGCATGGTTGAGAATAGTAGTACTTCTTTTGGTTCACTTGACGGGATGAAGATCACGTAGTGTGGTTTATGAGCACTCTACACATGCAGCACAGCCGTCCGCATCCTCCCGCGTCAATGATGCAGTAGGTGGAACGCCTACCGAATCCGTATGAGCCTGGTGTGCCGATAATGGTGCGTTTCAGAAGCCGTTGGTATATGCCGACCGTGTGGAATAAGCCAACTAAATGTACTTGCAGAGGAAGCTTCGTGCACCTCATGATTCAGTAAAACCCTCGACTACCTGTCCTGGCCAGATTGGCTGGCTGAGTCTTCGCTTATCCTTGGGTACCCCGCCATGAACAACGCATGAGTTTCCCGTCCTGTAAGGATAACTTCGTTGACCACATGAAGCCTCTATCGAGATTAAATTATGCCCGTAGCCTAAGAGGAGTACCTGTAACTGGCCGCGGATGCCCACTGACAGGACGGATGAAGGCATGAACCGAGAGCGGGGTTGACACTTGTTTAGCAAATAATTCAGCATATTGTTGAGGATGCTACTAGCAACGGGTTAGATTAACATCCTCATTGGTTTGATTAGTGCGGCCCCGAGTAACGTCGTTACCACTGAAGAACCAAATAGGAGAGAAGTACCCCATAAAGTAACGGTGTTGGCCTGGGGATCATATCGGGTAACATTGGCTCGCTTATACTTTGGCCATATTTTTTCAATTTCCTGATGCATCCGTACAAGGTTGGTGGACTAGTAGCTATTCATAACATTGGTCCAATTAATTTCAACCATGAAGTTATAACATACAATAGATAAATTGTAGGAAAACATGATTGATTGACTAATAATGCCCTCGTACAGCGATTCAAGGCGATGTGGACGAATTGTCTCGGGAACCAAAGCAGTTGGTCATCGACTATCCTGCCTGCTTCGACTGCTTTAGAGTAATGATTAGATACCGATAATGTAGTAGTATATGGGGGCATGTGATGAGCCACGGATAATCTCATGGCCGCGATAGCATTGAATATGCATTGAAGGTAGGTCACGTGAGACAAACTGGGGAAATGAAATTCGTCGAGATAAAACATCTGCAAGTCTAGATCTTAGACAAATAATGCAATATGAGGCAAGCCTGTTGTTGCTATGCTTTACCCACCCAGCCTGCTCTGCAATAATCCACATCTGCCTCATACTTAATAGATCTTGAATAATGATCAGCCACAGGGTGGGCCCGGATGCGAGGCGCAGCAGCGGAGTAAATCCACGCCAATCCGATCTGGGCGAGTAGTACCGACTTTTGGTAGCAGTACTGATTCGGGCCCGATTCCAACTCACCTCTTTTTCTCACCGTGCGCTGGCCTTCTTTCATTCATTATTCCTTCATTTGTCGCTGCTTCTGTCTTTCCCGCACCTTCTCTCTGCCCAATTTTCTGCCATTGGGAGCCTTGTTGCTGTTAGGATTCGACTTCATCTTGAAACATCGGTTCTTTCGATGTATAGATAGAGTGGTGTGTCTCAGTTCTGTGCCGGACCCATCTCCGCCCTTTAAAAAAGTTCCACACACTCCTTTATCAATTTCATTCGATCTCAATTCTTCATATATACATACATCCGTTGTTTGATATTATAGGGTGATCATCTATCTCCCTCGGGATTATTATCCGGGAAATCAGCAGGGGTATCCGATACCCAGCGCAGAGAACCATGTTGTATCGCAATGTTCAACGATCCGTGATCTCTTTCTCTTGGGTTGGCCTGCGGACGCCTCCCAGGACAACAACCACCACAATTACTGCTACCCGCATAACAACCCCCGCCTATCGACGGGGATTCTCACAGTGCCAAATTCGGAGAAATACAGATTCCTCCTCCGAACAAAATGCCACAAAGGAAGGTAGAAGGCGGAGGAATGACGACTCGGAAGAGGAACCTACTCTGCGATCGACGTTGCTGAAGATGGGGGAGTCTGCGGCTACTACTCTTGCTTCGATGGCTGTTCTCGGGTAAGCTATCCTGATCTTTTCT